ATAGCACTGGTCACTCTCCATTTTAGGGCCTTTCCCCTTCTTAATCCTAGAGCTCTCTTGGCATGACAAGGGAATCCTTTCGGGTGATGCCAGAGAACTGGAAGTGGGCAGAACTTGAGTAATCATCCCCAAGGCCCTATCAACCTCAAAAGAAGTAGGGGAGGTCTGCCTTTTCTCAAGAACCTCGCTGGGTGCGAATAGAGATCTCCTAAGGGAAGAACCCTCTGTAGCTTATAGAGTGGATGAAGGTTGGCTGATAAAGAGTGGAGTTGGAACAGTAGAGTTGGGGGGCATACTCTTTTTTGGCACTTTGGCTGGAGGAGTAGTTTCGCTCCCAGAACCAACCTCAGCCCTGCGTTTACCACCATTCCTGGTCTTCTTTAATTGGGAAAGCTTAGCTTGGAGCTCTGCTGTGGAAGGCTTCATCTCGAAAGGACCTAAAAACCCAGGACAGGTAAAAATATAAATAAACAAGGTACAAGAAGAGAGGGGAATGTCAGAGTTGGATAGTTCGGGGTATTACCAGCGGCCTCCTCTGCACTTATAACAGCAAAGGGAATCGGGGCTTCAATCGTAGTCTCTGGGAGACTGAACCCTTGCGCTATGAGAACCCAAGGCTAGATGAGCTCAGAGTACCTCTCTGATTCACAGCCCTCTAGGGACAACAAGACCTACTTGTCAGTAGCGTTGAGTTCAGGGCGAACACCTAAAAAAAATAGAATATGAGAAACAAAAAGAGATCAGCACAGAAAGTTACTAAAGTCGACCCTAGCTCAATTAGATTTGCACTTACCCAAGTAATCAGGAGCTTTCTAGGCTCGAGGGACTAGAAGAGAATCTGAATTGTCCATAGGGTTGTATTCCCATTGATCGCCCCCCACAAAGAAGAAAAATTTTCTCTAGCCCTTGTGAGAGCTTGGAAAGTCGATGATGATTACTTTGGCTTTAACCCATTTAGAGATATACAAGAAACCATCGAAAGGGGTATACTTAACATTAAAACACTCCATGAGCAGAGAGACAATGGGGACCCCAAGTTTATGCTTCTTAAAGAAAACAAGAAGACCCACCAGTACACCCCAGAAGTTAGGAGAGAGTTGAGCAAGGCAAACATTAAAATGCTGCAAAACGTTCTTGATGAATGGGTGCATGGGAAAGCAAAGACCGTTCTCAAAGGCGGCCATGAAAAAATAAACTTTTTTGTGAACTTAGGCGACATATAAGGTAAATTTATCTAGACACCAGTATTGGACACCAAGAGGAAAGCTAAAACGAGCGCTAAGAACCTTTATAAGGGGAGGAGAGACCTCACTGAAGCCCACAAGTTCTGCAATTCTGAAAATAGCACATGCACCCTCAGTGCTGCTTGAGATACCAATTATGCTCACCTTGGCCTTACCCCTGTTAGAATTTTTGGGAATGGGGGTGGTAGATAAGGGAATATCCTTAGTATTTCCCTCGGTATCAGCAGAATTAACACCGAAGAATTTATCAATCTTTTCACCCACATCACCTAAATCAGAATCTTTCTCAGCAGACCTGCTCCCTAGAAGGGAAACAGAGGAGGGGGTAGCCCCAAAATAAGTAGACATAGTTGGGCAAGAGAAAGGGAGTTTGAAAGTACGATAAAGGGAAAGAATATTTATAGAACACTCTCTAAGAGTCAGGGGCAACACAGCAGCTGCTGATAAGAAAAACCCTGGCAGTTGAATAAGGGTCTAAAAAGAGGGGAAAGTGAGACAGAGATCGTCCTCGGTTCCTAAAGTAACAGAATCGAAAATTCCAAAAATACAGAAACCACCTTAGACTTGAAGGATCCAGAATGAGGAGATGAACAGAGGGTAAGAAGCGTACCTAAGTGAGGATCAACAGTAGACCAAGGCTTGAAATGAAAGCGAGGAGCGAACTTCGTTCAAAACCACAAATTGAATCAGGGAAAATTGGTTTCTCAACAAACCCCTAGAGGCACCAACAGAATTAAAAAATATGGGATTGTAGGAAGAAGAGAGGGAAAAGCCTGCAGAGGGAGTTTAAAAGGCAAAATGAGTCATTTCCCTCAACTCAGAGGCATTTAAAACTAACGTTAGAAAGTGGGGATCATGCACATGAAGCAGGAAAAAAAATGAAATGATTACTGGTAACCATCAAAAACCTGTTCGCGCGTAAACCGAGGTCAACACGTGGAGGTCTACCCTATTTAAGTGTTAACTCAGCCCTTACCCAAGCCAGCTTGGTCAAGAGTTGGGGGGCAACTGATGATACATAGAGTAACTTCTAAAGTGTGAGCTCAGGCGCGGAGGTCGGACAAAAAGGTCTGACAAGACACACAGAGCTCAGAAGACCAGAGCTAGAGCTCACCCCAGACAAGACAGTGGCAGAAATGACAAGGGAACAACTAGGTGTTTACAGGAACCCTACAGGTGGCAAAGATTCCTATTCAAGGCACAAAATCCTCAACCAACCAAGATATTCTCCAAAAATCAAGGAGGAATCCACGTATAAAAGGCTAAGATCTCGGCAGAGATCACACAAAATAAGGAACAGCTCTATAAATACTATATAACACCTCCAATAACGAGAGAGAATCCCTGATGGCCTGAGAGGCAGAATGTAAATTTCATCCCCTTTTATTGAAACAAAAGGAAAAAGAATCTCCATTAAAAGTGGATTAGCCGAGCTCCTAAGCTAGTGAACCACTGTATTTTCACTTTGTAATTGCCCCCAATCCCTGAAATTCTTTGTTACGATCCTCACGAGCCTAGGAGATCAGACCCAAGTTGCCAAGCAAAATATTGGCCCTCTGCTCGTCCACGTTAATTGCACCATCATAACATATGTTACAAAAAATAATAACATTTAATATTAAATTAACCATTGTCTTCTCAGCAAAAAAATTAATAGAGAGAAAGCCAACAAGAGAGGTAAGAAAAGTAGTTCCTGAAGGTTATGAAGATAAGGGTAATGAGAGTATGAAAGTGATGAAGGTCGATTCATCTTTGTCATGCTCATTGATGTCATCGTCAATGACTGGCAATGACAGTTAGAGTAATAAAATGGTTTCAACAAGTAATTCTGAAGATGGGCTCTAGATGGGTAAGAATTCACCATGCTTTGTTTTTGGCAAGTTTCCAACGATGCCGGAGGAATCAGAGTTAGAAGGTTGCTCATTAACGCATTTGCCTTCCTTTGATCCACATAGTGAGAGAAAGAGAGAGAAATGGTATTAATTTCAAATTTAAATTTGAATTTTAGATTTTATGGAAAAAAATCTTACATTAAGTATGAATTAAGGGATAAATGTTTAGGAAATTGATTTAATATTGAAGATTGTTTTTAAGTCATTAGAAGGGTATTTCAGAGTTTTAAAAAATAGTAGGCTTAACTAATTATTAGTAAGATTAAAAATGAATTTATCTCCAATTAAATTTTTTTGACAAATTAAACTCATTATAAGTCTTTTAAGTATGACTCAATCTCAATTTTCACTTTAAAAATCTTTCAGACGAAAAAGTCCGATGGTGCCAGGTGACTCCTCAACGAGGGCTCCGTCAGGGCGATCCGCTGTCTCCTTATCTCTTTCTTTTTGTTACTGATGTTCTCTCAAGGATGGTTCAGAAAGAGGTGTTTGAGGGGTCAATCAAACCTTGGAGAATTCGCCGGAGAAGCCCCACACTATGCCATTTGTTTTTCGTTGATGATTCTCTCTTTTTCCTCATGGCCAGAGAATAGGATGGGACTAAATTGAAGGTGATCCTATGGAGGTATTGCGAAGCAGCAGGACAACTCACTAATCTCAACAAGTATGGAATTCTTTTCTCTTCAAATTCATCAAAGGACCTGAGAAGAACCATGAGCCAGTTGATAAAAATTGAGGCTCTCCCTGACAATACAAAATACCTTGGCTTGCCAACTATGTGGGGAAGATCAAAAGCTGAAACTTTCAATTATTTATTAGAGGTCATGAAGAAAATCCAAGGATGGAAGGAAGTCTACCTTTCCCAGGCGGGGAAAACGATTCTTGTTAAATCGGTTGTTCAGGCTATCCCCAATTTTGCTATGTCGTGTTTAATTTTCCCACATAAATTGTGTGATAAATTGTCTCAGTGTGTTCGATGTTTTTGGTGGGGTCAGAACTCAAAGACTAGTGGAATTCCGTGGAAGTGCTGGGATGGCATGACATTACCAAAAGTGTCGAGGGGTATGAGTTTCAGATATTTCCATTATTTTAATTTGGCACTCCTGGATAAGCAATGTTGGCGGCTAATACAAAGTCAGAATTCCTTTTGGGCTCGAATTCTGAAGGCAATATATTTTCCGAATTCGGACTTCATGGAGGCCGGAAGATGAGCAAAATCGTCTTGGATGTGGACCATCCTATTGAGAGGAAGAGAATTGTTAGCTAAATGTCTTAGATGGAAGTTAAGTAATGGGGAAAAATTTAATTTCTGGAATGATAGATGGATCCCAACCCTGCTCAGTTTCTCTGTTATCTCGCCTTAAGCCCTGGGATTGTAACATTGAGCTTGTCAAGGATGTAATTAACCAGGCATCAAAGGGTTGGGATTTAAATTCTCTCTGGAAGTTTATCACTACAGAAGAACAACAAGCTATCACATCTATTCCGATATCAAAAATGAGGGGGCTGGATAAGAGGATTTGGCACTTTGATGCTAAGGGACAATATATTGTTAAGTTAGATTACAAGGAGGCAAGGAGAGTGAAGATTTCCTCTACACTTCGAGGGAGTAGCTCCTCCTCACAGTTGCATCCTAATTTGTGGAACATCATTTGGAGCATGAAAAACAACACCAAAGGTTAGACACTTTTTGTGGAGGGTATGCTCAAATGCTCTCGCAACGAAAGAGAACCTCTATAGAAGAAAATGTAGCTCCTCCCCAATTTGCCCGAACTATGGGAAAAAGGTTGAAACTACAAAGCATCTTTTATTTGGTTGCAAATGGACACACAATGCCTGGTTTGGGTCAGACTTGACCCTAAGAATGGAGAGTCTGAATATTGTATCAGCAAAATTTTGGACATCCAATTTAGTGGAGAATCTGAACTCTTTTTGCCAAGCAGTGGAGATTCTTAGTAAGGTTGCATTTATCGGGTGGTCTATTTGGAGAATAAGGAATGATGTTATCGTTTAATCGGCTCTCCCCAATCCAACAATCGCACTAAAAAAGGCACAATTCGATTGGGAAGAGATCAACTCTTAGCTTTTTGTTCGGAATAGACAGTACCTTCCCCCAACTCTAGACCATCCAGGCTTGGTTAGCTGGCTAAGACCTCCCACTAGCCTGGTAAAGGCGAACTGCGATGGATCTTTTGATGAGAAGATGAAGCAGTCAGCAATAGGCGTGGTTATCAGGGACCACACAGGAGCAGTTGTTGATGGTTTAGCATTGCAATCACCTTTTGAGTCCAGTCTTTATTCGGAAGCAATAGCTTTGCGTGAAGCTTGCATGTGGCTTTCGGCTTTATAGAGGTACGAGGCTATAGTGGAGAGTGATTCACAAGTTCTGATCTTATTGTGTACTGGTGAGGATGCTTCTCCATGGGAAATTGCATCTTTGGTGGAAGATATCAGAGTGATTTCAAACAATCTTAAATTTAGTCTGATACATAATCCTCGTACATCTAACAAGCCAGCCCATTGGGTGGCCAAAGCAAGAATGTCTCCTTCACTTCCAGTAGGCTGGGTTTTTAATCCTCCCACAGAATTGCGACGTTTACTTTCTATCGACTGTATCCTTGATTCAGTTTCTTAATAAAATTTTACTTTCTAGTTCAAAAAAAAAAAAAAANGTGGAGGGTATGCTCAAATGCTCTCGCAACGAAAGAGAACCTCTATAGAAGAAAATGTAGCTCCTCCCCAATTTGCCCGAACTATGGGAAAAAGGTTGAAACTACAAAGCATCTTTTATTTGGTTGCAAATGGACACACAATGCCTGGTTTGGGTCAGACTTGACCCTAAGAATGGAGAGTCTGAATATTGTATCAGCAAAATTTTGGACATCCAATTTAGTGGAGAATCTGAACTCTTTTTGCCAAGCAGTGGAGATTCTTAGTAAGGTTGCATTTATCGGGTGGTCTATTTGGAGAATAAGGAATGATGTTATCGTTTAATCGGCTCTCCCCAATCCAACAATCGCACTAAAAAAGGCACAATTCGATTGGGAAGAGATCAACTCTTAGCTTTTTGTTCGGAATAGACAGTACCTTCCCCCAACTCTAGACCATCCAGGCTTGGTTAGCTGGCTAAGACCTCCCACTAGCCTGGTAAAGGCGAACTGCGATGGATCTTTTGATGAGAAGATGAAGCAGTCAGCAATAGGCGTGGTTATCAGGGACCACACAGGAGCAGTTGTTGATGGTTTAGCATTGCAATCACCTTTTGAGTCCAGTCTTTATTCGGAAGCAATAGCTTTGCGTGAAGCTTGCATGTGGCTTTCGGCTTTATAGAGGTACGAGGCTATAGTGGAGAGTGATTCACAAGTTCTGATCTTATTGTGTACTGGTGAGGATGCTTCTCCATGGGAAATTGCATCTTTGGTGGAAGATATCAGAGTGATTTCAAACAATCTTAAATTTAGTCTGATACATAATCCTCGTACATCTAACAAGGCAGCCCATTGGGTGGCCAAAGCGAGAATGTCTCCTTCACTTCCAGTAGGCTGGGTTTTTAATCCTCCCACAGAATTGCGACGTTTACTTTCTATTGACTGTAACCTTGATTCAGTTTCTTAATAAAATTTTACTTTCTAGTTCAAAAAAAAAAAAAAAGTCCGGTGGTAGAAGCATCTTTGTTGGGCTATCAGGCTTGTGTGCAGTCCGAATTCAATTGGATTCGTCCGTAGTTGGCAATCAGGCTTGCTGGGCTATCTGGGTTGGGACCATTGGATGCTAATCAAGGCAGGCAAAATCCTATATGTTTGAATGGGCTGTTGCTGGACATTTCAGTTTATGTTTGAATGGCCCATTGCTAGGTACTAGAGTGTGGAAGCAAATAATATGTAGGGTGAATTGTATTTTGTATCTCGAAAGATTTAAAAATTTTTATATTACACCCTCTATTAAAAGTGTTACGATGTGATTTTTCCATTAGTCTTCGCTTCTTCATTCCGTCAACGTTAATGAGGTGGATTTTGATGAAAAAAATAACAAAAGATCCGCACGCAACATTTTTAATACATTGATTGTGGAATATGAAAAGTCTCATCTTTGAGAGTACAACATTAAAAAACTTAGATATTTCAAAGCATAAAGTGAGATTTCCCCTAATATGTCATGTCAGTGAGATTCATCTTTTTTGGTAACGACACCACTGACCTTGGTTTTTTTCCTTTTTTTTTTTTTTGGTTTGAGACTAACCTCGGATTACTACTGTCATGTCGTTGTACCAAAAATTCCTATCTTTCGAATGATCAAAATTTATAATTAATATATTGAGATCTCAAATTTGAGTCTTATGAAAAACTATTGTGTGATTTTACGTAAGTTATTTGTCATGGTCAAAGTCATTTGGTATTGATACGAGTACATAAGATATTATTAGGGTAGTTCTCCATCATTGAATAAAAATGAATTAGTCTTTGTGGAAAAGCTATGCAAGGACATAATGTATTTATTTTTTTTGGTCAAACACTATTATAGGGAGGAGGACAATGAGATTCGAAATTGTGATTTTAAAGTCTAACAATAAGGATAACAGTCATTAGATTAATAGCAAACCACTAGTGACACAAGTTGTTGATGTATGTTATATACACATAAGAAAGGGACAAATAGGAATTCGACAGACAACCAATATTGGCTTGTTTGTTTGATGGGTTATGGGGGGTTTGATACGATGGGTTTAGGTGAAATTGATCCAATGAATCAACAAAAATCATATTTTGATGCTATTTGGAAGCCTAGATTGCAGTCAACCTAAGGGGTGGGTTTCAAAGAGGCCAAACTGGATACAATTGATAAAATATATTTGTATCCCTTAATTTGATTTCTTAATCTTGACTTAATATAGTCATTTACATGACAAATATGTGGTGATAAATTAATAGGTTACACGTGTGTATATTAGCTCCATCACCCCAAAACTATCCAAACATGCTACATGATGTCAACCTTAAAAAGACCCTACGAGNTGTGTATATTAGCTCCATCACCCCAAAACTATCCAAACATGCTACATGATGTCAACCTTAAAAAGACCCTACGAGGGACCTCCCCAACAAATCACTTTGTATCATTGGACAAAGACTAAGAATCTTTTTTTGGGTGGGGTTTAAACTCTCACCTCTTTTTTGGAAGAGGTATGGGGAAAAATCATATTTCAATTGATCCCAATTGGAAACTTGAACATGAACATCCTACAAATTTTGATTCCTCAATTCATTTACGAGTTGTATTTATTGAAAAGTAAAATTTTGATTCGAGACTCAATAGAATGTCTTAGAACAAAATTTCAAAAAGTACACAAGAATTTCAATAAAATCTAATTATACAGCCCATGAAATAAAACCCATGAACTAAAGATATAACGGATTCAAATGCAAATAATTCATAAAAATAAACAGTCATATATATCTGACTTATAATCTCAATCAATTGGCAGGCCTATTTGAGAGAAAAGTGCAGTCAACAATCCAATGGTAGCTAATACCAAGAATATGCTTATACCAAACTGACTGTATTACAACACCATGGAAGCTAAGAATGATTAGAAGGTCGATCCTCATGTTTCTGCCGAATTTTGGCCTTGACATCCTTGATAAATCGATCAAAATTTTTCTCTGTTGATCCATCGGTAGCCAATGCATCCTCAAGAACCTTTCTCACTTTCTTGGTCTCCTTCCTCAACTCATCTAACGATTTTCCACCCATCAGATGGCTAATCTTCTCCGCAACTTCTTCCCTTGTGATTGATTCCCCATCACATAAATTGAGTCCAATCTTCCAATCGTCAACCACTAATTTCCTATTAGTGAATTGATCTGTAAACAAAGGAAAGCATAGCAATGGAACCCCGCACCATATACTTTCCAATGTGGAATTCCACCCACAATGAGTTAAGAATCCCCCTATAGCGGGATTTGAAATCACCTCAATCTGAGTACACCATGGAACGATCAACCCTCGACCTTTGATATTTTCTTCAAATCCAACGGGCAAGATGTTAGTATCATCAGAACTAACCATACCAGGGCGAATCACCCAAACAAAATTCACTTCACTAAGTAAAAGCCCATGTGCTATCTCCACAATATCAAGTTGGTTGGCCTGAGCCAAGCTGCCAAAAGAGACATACAACACTGACCCATGAGACTTGGTGTTGAGCCAGTGGGTGCAATCTGATTCAGACCATAGGCTCGTAGCCACAACACTTTTGGTGAAGCCAGTAGGAAAAATGGGTCCAACTGCATAAAAGGGTTGCCTTTGTTGTAGAGATGCAATTGTCTCAGCTTCAAGCTCTTGCACTGTATTGCATAAAACAAAATCTGCTTTCTTCACCTCTTCTTCGAATGCCCTAAAGATTATCCAGTGTATTACTGACGATAAATCGGTATCTTGAAGATAGGACATCAAGTCTTTTGGTTCGATTGCCTTGACTCCGGGTATGTAATCTATGGTGCCCTTGCGATTATCTGCAAATATAAACAGGTTCAGGTTGTCACATATTCACATGCATCTATATCTTTTTTATTTGTTTTATTTTTTTAAAGCAGACAGCTCACTCACCCCTGTAACTAAGAATTGTGATCGTTTTCTGTTCGGGTATGTTAGATGTTAGCAAAATAAGTTCCCTAATTTTAAGTGTTCATTCAAAAATGTATCAAAAAAAAAAAAAAAATCAAACATTTTCATCATGTGCTACCATTTAAACCGATTAATTGTCTCAAATTCAAATTATTTGGGTTGAATTCGTGCCAAACATATCAATTATTATCCACTAATTTCATAGCAGATTATGTTGTTTGATATACTGGAAATTATCACCCTACCACCAAAACACATGTAAAAATGAAGAGCATCTATATATGTACATGTCTCTGTATATCAGCACATATAATCTTCATATACAAGTGCATATGCATAGTTGCAGACATATACACACACGGAGAGACAGAGAGTCGGTTTACCTACCATTAGAACCAAAATGACCATTTTGTCGTAGAAGGTCCAGGTGATAGTACAAGTTAAACACCAAAGCAGGTTCAGTCCAGAACGAAACGTTGACCAGATTATACTTCTTGGCAATCTTCTCCGGCCACAAATAAAAGGTGTCGGCGATCAAAAAAAGCTCCGATGACGGTTCTCTCCGGACAATCTCACCAACAAGGTCATCAATATTGACTGGGAAAACATTCAGGAAAGACTCCCAATACTGTTCGCTTTTTACAGATCGATCGAATTCTACCGGAAGACCGTCGCTGACAGTCATATAACGTATATCGAGACCTGACGTCCGTGCTTCGGAGAAGATATCAGTTCCGGCCGGCGTGTTATCCGACTGGGCTTTGATGATTTGTTGGTGAATTGATTGGGTGTGGACGAAGGTGATGGTTAAGCCTTTTGAAGCAAGCTTTATGGCTAGATGGACATAGGGGATGATATGACCTTGGAGATGGAATGAGATCATGATAGCATGAGGCTTCCAGTTGAGATCAGCCATCTCACTGTGCGGATGAGAGAGAGAGAGAGAGAGAGAGAGAGAAACTTGAATATATTCACTTCTATCAAGGATCAATCCCTTGCGTTACATTGTCAAGGACAAGGGGGCAGAGAGAGAGACTTACCTATACAGACAGCTGGGGGTGTTATGGACGGGGTTCCCCACGGGTCCGTTATTCGGCCGACAAAAATAGGCCCGAAGTTCGATAGAATCGATAATTGGCCTGTCCGTACTTGAGTCGGAGCCAAATATCCTTTAAGAAAGGGTTTGAATTTACCCTCAAACCCATTATTCGGTTCAAAGCCTGAAGCCCGGCCCAAAATCGAAGACCACCCCAATAACCCGCCCAATAATCCGCCCACATATCCAAAGCTCGCCCGAAGCCTATACCTGCCCATATATGTTTTTTTGTTTTTGATCAAACATATATTTTTATGTTAAGAGGTGGAGATTTTAGATATTAAGATTGATATATTTTTTTTCATGTATTAAATATTCTAGTTTTTCATGTACAAAAAAGTTTTTAATTGGTAGAATTTTGCAAATGATAGATAGGTGGATAGGTGTCCACCTAGTTGGGATGTACTCATCTATAGTGATGCAATTTCTCTTCTAATAATTTGTTATAATTATTCACTATTTAATTTTTGTCTATTTTGATTTTGACTATACTTTTAATTAAAAAATATAATTTACAAAAAAATTAAATAATATTTTATATTTTTTCAATAGCATCCAATAGGCCCAACAAAAGCCTGCCCGCAAAGCCAGTCTAATAGGTGACGGGCTGGGCTACGGGTAGCTTACCCCTACTCGAAGCCTCGCCACGCCCGGCCCGGCNTGTTTTATATTTTTTCAATAGGATCCAAGAGGCCCAACAAAAGCCTGCCCGCAAAGCCAGTCCAATAGGTGACGGGCTGGGCTACGGGTAGCTGACCCGAAGCCTCGCCACGCCCGGCCCGGCCCGGCCTGACACTCGCCCGAGTACGGGCTTGACCCTACACTACCCAAGTCTGCCCAAAAAAAAAATTTGCAGGCCTAGCCCGACCCGGGCCACGAAAAGCCCTACTGATAACAAATAAATTAGGAGGCATTTTCTCCATATTCTCTTAATTTATAGAATTTTAATTTATTTTAATGAAGTCAATCTAATTACATTTCACCATGTCATTATCACACCTCCACTAACTAATAACTCTCTTTATTTAAGTGTTTTAAAAAAATATTTTCTATTCTCCAAATTTTTATAATTTTTTTACTCCTTAAATAATTGGGTAAGAGAGAGGAATAAATAGTGAAAGGGATAATGAAAAATTATGAGATACAAGTTCTATGCATCACACAGGATCCAAGGACTTTTAGGAACCATCCTTGATCCATATCTCCCCTTAAGATTTTTTGGAAAAAAATTTGAAAAAAATTTAACAAGTTCTACATCAAACATCATGTTAAAATGAATTTAGTGTGAGATACCTGATCTTTCATTAGCAACTATCGGTAGTGATATTTGATTTTCTATAGAGAATACTACCGGACCAGAATTTCCTTCATCCACCACTTGACTCTTAGTCACGGTGTTTGACTTTTGATTGAATGGTCCTAACATTGGTGTTGGGACATTCAATAATTCATGCATTGAAAATTAACTAATTCTTGCATAATGCTAGAATTGGAATTGTGCAACATCTATTTCAACTTCTGTACAAACTTATATGTTTGTACACTTTCTTGGCCATTGGATCGACCATTAACTGGATTTGCAGATTCAACAGAATGGGTACTTGAACTTACTTCATGATTTCCATCAACTAGTGCCATTTTCACAATTTCACTAGTCTCGGACATAATTTCGTCTTGCTTCCTTGTTCGCACCATCGTTCTTGATCTAAGTTAGTGATGTTGTCCCATTAGGCGTGCTAAAAAATTGTTGCTCTAAAACTCATTTGAAAAGATGGAAATGTAGATTTTTTTTATTAATTCAATTGAATGAGTTTTAATTGTGAGATTAAATTAACAGTCTTTGATTATAACATCAACTACTCCTTAAAATTAACTTTAGCACTATTCTTAAATGCACTGATCATGGGTCTTGTGGGGGATTTGAGTTTTTGTTTAACTTCCTTGTTTTCCTCCTTTTATAGCCATTCCTAAGACAATTTTTCTCAAAAAAAGACAATTAATTAGCTTGTAACTTCTAGACAATTTTTCTTTCTTTTAAACCAAAACTATGGCTGATCATTTTTCGTCTTTTCTTCAGATTTTGACACGTGACAATCTTTTAATGACTTCAAGTTTGCCAACAATATATGCATTGAATGTCTTTATACTTTAAGTTCAACCACAAATAAATAATTTTTTATATTCAATTATATGCATCAACAAATCTTAAAATTGTCGTTCTAACAACTATCTCTTGTGAGCTTCCTCAAATGCATCTTTACCTCATGGGTACTAATATACAATCTTGATTGTACTGGATATCGAACAATTAGAATGGGGAGAAAAAAAGAAAACAATTAGAAAAATTAAAAAACCAAAATAGAGAGAGAGAGGGGGAGAGACAGAGATACCTAGTGGGATGGATGGGTTTACGGTGGGAGTATGGTAGCTAGGGTCTAAGATGAGTTTATATCGAATGATATATAGATAAATAACATACATTTTAATACATACAATTAACTTACTATCCATTTTTTCTTCCAATTTTGGAGTGATTGATTTTGATAAATTGGAAGAAAAGTTAATACATTTACTTTTTTATCTTTCATATTTTTTTTTCTTACCAAACATGAAGTTATATTTATCCATCCAATTTTCCATTATTTCACTTTTTTATCGTACTAAACGAAGCACTAATGATTAGTTTTGAATTGAATGATCAACAGAATGAAAAATTATGAAGTTAACAAAAAAATTATATACAAGATGCTTTTTTATTTATTTTTAAGTAAAGATACAATATTAAAAAATAATTTCCGATAGTATATGGGACTCTGAGATTGTTATATTAGCTATTGGTGATGATGCGATATAGGTTGTATTCCACTAATTGCTATACAGAAAGCATCTATACAGATATACTATCAGAAGTGAAGTGTTAAAGTTTAGTGCAACCTTTCATGTCAAGAAGGAACAAATGAGTTATAAAAAGGCAATGTTTTGGGACCAACTTGAGCCCTCTAGCCCACCTTGCCTCATTGAACAAAAACTAAAGCCAGCAAATAAAAACGTGATGCTAGATTGGCCCAAAAAAATGGCTTAAAAACACGGACAAAATGACGTGATATTATTATAATAGGATAGGTCATTTAGTTTCTTTTTTTGGTCTATTTTTTTTTTTTNACTATACATTTGATTTTGCAGTTTTGTTTTCTGAATAGTATTCATTTAATATTAGGGTTATGGTCGATTAAATTGAGCTATTTGGTTCAGATCTTGTCCATATTCATAAATTAGGGTTTATGAGTTATAATCTTTGTACGCTTATTTAATTCCAAAAGAGCCTTGGAAGAAAATGGAACTGTGTCAATTATAGGTTGTAGAAAATATTGGTAAATGAAAGCCAACTAATTTCAAATGGTTGAATTCGTTCTGATATCCAAAAGAATGAAAAATTCGCAAATCCCAGAGTTTAGCTTTTGATCTCTCCCTACATTATCTCTGCTACAAAACAAAGCAATACATTAATATCATATTCCTATCCTTTGAATATATGTTTTTCTAATTAGCTAAAATATATTGCAAAATTTGGTATGTTTGTAGAGACATCGAATCACTGTTCTTTCGCATCCAGAATTGTACTTTTTGACCCAATTACTTTGGTTGGATTGAAATATGTTTTAGAACGCAATTTTTTGGTGGTTCAGAGATCAGTCCATCACCTGCAGCACCAACAACATCGGGAAACAATGGCAATATGATTTACATGTTCAATAGAAATGGAGTTCATGGGTGATTTGCTTTTGATTTCTTCTTTTTTTTTCCCCATCTTCCCCTCGCAATCTTCCTTTTTGTCTACACTCTGTTTGGTTTGCATCTCAGAAATTATTTTTCTGCTTTCGGAAACAATTTTTGGGGGAAAAACTGTTTGGTTAGCTGTTTTTTTTTTTTTTGTTTTTTGAAAATTGTAAACAAATAGTTGGTAAATTTAGTGCATAAGTAAGGGTTTTGTTTGTGTGTTTTTGAAAATAATCTTTCTAAAATTTAAAAACCACCACAACATTTATGTTGTCATTGTTTTCTGGGTTACTATATAACTGTTTTTGGAATTATATAACCAAACAAGTTCCAACACACAAAAAACACAAACAATTTTTTAGATACTATTTTTTGAGACACAAATCAAACAATTTNTATTGACCAAATTTTAGGATAAAATTTAGAGATCAAATTAGATGACGGCATATTATTTTGAGTCTTTATTGAGGTCCAAATGATATGATACCAAATAAAGAAGGCCAAGTTCACTGTCATGTCATTTGAACTCCAAATTTAATCTTAAATCTTAAAAATTGATCAGTGTTGAATTTCTCATAAAATTTTCTCTACTCTTCAGTTTTTAGTCTCGAAATGCACATAAATGGAAAAAAAAAAGTTATTAAATCAGATTGGTTGAATGGCATGAATGAATTATACAGGAAGAGAGGGAGAGAGAGAGAGAGAGATCAAAGTACCGTTAGAAGCAAAATGACTATTTTCCTTTAGCAGGTCCAAGTGATAGTATANAGGGAGAGAGAGAGAGAGAGATCAAAGTACCGTTAGAAGCAAAATGACTATTTTCCTTTAGCAGGTCCAAGTGATAGTATAAAGTGAAGACCAACGCTGGTTCAGTCCAGAATGAGACATTAACAAGGTTATACTTCTTCGCAATAGTCGCCGGCCAAACGTAAAAAGTGTCGGCGATCAAGCAGGTGACCGGCGGGGTTGCCTGAACCAACTTTCCGACCAATTCATCCACATGGGCTGAGAAAACATGTAGGAGACCCTCGACAAACTGGTCATGGTTCAGAGACCTGTCGAACCCTAGTGGAAAACCGTCGCTAACGGTTGCATAATGTATGTCCAGACCAGATTTACGTGCTTCGGCAAAAATGTCTTCTTGGTTGTTACGTTTTTGTGCATCCGATATCCGGTGGTGGACCGAGTGAGTATTGACGAAGGTGATGATGAAGCCATTTGAAGCAAGTTTCATGGCTAGATGGACAAAGGGGATAACATGGCCTTGGTAAGGGTATGGGATCATTAAAGCATGAGGCTTTTGGTGATTTTTTGGCATCTTTTGCTGTATTTTGCTTGAGAGCGAGAGGGCTCTGATCCGTCCGAAAATCTCCACTTTTTATTGTAGAGAGAGAGAAACTAGAGGCAGAGCATTGCAATAGGATAGGATTAATCACATTTGTACACCTGGCCAATGTCATTGGCACATAATTTATAAATATAATTCAGGGATGTCATGAATTATCATCAATGATATAATAATAAATATATTTAATATCACAATAAAATTCATCATTAAATACATATCATTGATAATAATTTATTATATTTTCAAATTATGTCTTTCAATTATGCCCTAATAACGTTAGTGTCTGACACATTTGAGAATTATATTTATCACATGGCATCTCCAGCCAGCCATGATTGGTGGTTTCATGTTGCTCTTTCTTGGCGTTAACAATTTCGTTTTGCAAACTGCACATCTAATTTTAATTACCTACTACTCCACATTAATTATCGAAAAATTGAAAGGTATTAGTAAAAGGTATATTTTAATGTACACATGCACATTTTTCATCAAATTCATAACTAGCATTTTGTTCGAGAGACACGTGAAACTAATTGAAACAGTTAAGGGGGGTAATGTGAGAAACTTGTTAGTAAAAGGAAGTAAAGTGAGACCATGAAGGGGGTCAAAATATAATATTTTGCTTTTGAAATATTAATACGACCTTTTGCNTCGTTAGTAAAAGGAAGTAAAGTGAGACCATGACCAGAATGAAGGGGGTCAAAATATAATATTTTGCTTTTGAAATATTAATACGACCTTTTGCTAATGAATTCTAAAATTGGGTGTTTGAACTGCCCGGGCCCCGGGCATCTCAGAAGCACATGCGAATCATTTGCCAAATTAAATAAAGTGATTTAAAAAGGTAAAAGACAAGCGCACACATGTAAATCTCATTCTGACCGTTGCAGAGCATCCAAAGTGTCAATAATGCAGGACAAGGAACCTCACTACTTGTCGAAGAAAGTTATTCAATTCCTCAGCNAATCTCATTCTGACCGTTGCAGAGCATCCAAAGTGTCAATAATGCAGGACAAGGAACCTCACTACTTGTCGAAGAAAGTTATTCAATTCCTCAGCAATTAAGACCTTTCTTAGTTTAGCTATCTTGGTAGGTTAGCTCTTTGAATGTGGATTTGGATCATCTCAATTTTAAATTTTGTCAATCTGAAATATAAGTTTTACAAATTGATATTTCGATTGAGTTCAATCTACCATTGCATGTCAGATGTGTAGTAATTCACTCGGGACATTGGATAAATTCAATCGAGATTGACAAAATTAGGCAAATGATTGAGAGAATTCAAATATTTTGTATTGGTTTTTTATGTGTTACCTTTTTTATTAATGATGGTAGTCTTTGTTTTTTTTTCTTTGAATAGAAACGATAACTTTTCATTCATTAGAAATTATAACATTAGATTTGAGGAACGCCAATAAAAAAGTTGGAGGGGCATCTCTCCAAACTACACGATCTGAACACGATTGTGCATATATCTTGCTAATCAGTGTGTGACAACATTGTGATATGGATATATCTTTATCACTTATCTAAGTAGTTTAGATGACTCTAGAGAAGTTAGGAAATATAATTTGATGTAGCTACTTTGTAGAATTTTTTATTGCTAGTAGAATTTATTTAGTTTTCTTTAGCTAAAGTTTAGATATTTCTATTTCAGTAGGATTCAAGTTGTAAGCTTTATTTATAGGAGCTTTCGATTATAAATAAAGCATCAAGAATTATATCTCTATCAACTAAATTGATAAAAGGAGGTCCGCTTCTCTCGAATGAACCAATAGGAGGTCCAAGATCCCTCGAAGCATCCTAGCAAAAATAGATCGACGACAAAAGACCGATCCCTTTGCTCTTCCCATTCATAATCCTGTGATGCACTCTCAATCAACAGCTCATAACAACTTGGTATCAGAGCCAGGCATGTTGGATCAAATGTTCGAATAGATTGAGAAAATGGTCAGAGCTTTGAGAGTAGGACAAAGTACGCTAAAGGAGGAATTGCAAAGAGAACTTAGGCGGCCGCTTCTTACTTATTGCTCCGTATACCTCTGATACAAGACTAGTTACTAACGTAGGGTGGATAGTCCCTCTGAGCAAGTTAACAGTGGTCGAGTTGANGGCGAAGAATGAATAACGAGGCATATGGAGACTATGTTCTGATCAATGATTGATAGGGTGGATAGTCCCTCTGAGCAAGTTAACAGTGGTCGAGTTGAGATTTTTTCTTCCAAAAACAAGGAAAACCAAGCATCCTCCTCTGGGGGATCTATTGCGCCAAAGGTGACTAAATTAGATATTTCTCGTTATGACAGAATCTAAGATCCAACGGGGTGGATTTCTCATGTAGAGTAATTTTTTGAATTTTAACAGACAGAAGAAATAGACAAACTACCTATGGTCGGCTATCATCTCTATGGAGATGTCCAAATTTGGTACCAAAATATCAAGGAAGAGGAGGAATACGTGGATTGGAAGGATTAAATAAGGAGCTACAATTGCACAATGGCCCTACCAAGTTTCAAAATTTCTATAGAGATCTCACAAAACTCAGGCAAATAGGAACAGTGCGGGATTATGTGGCCGAATANTTTGGCATCTTTTGCTGTATTTTGCTTGAGAGCGAGAGGGCTCTGATCCGTCCGAATATCTCCACTTTTTATTGTAGAGAGAGAGAGAGAAACTAGAGGCAGAGCATTGCAATAGGATAGGATTAATCACATTTGGACACCTGGCCAATGTCATTGGCACATAATTTATAAATATAATTCAGGGATGTCACGTAAATATATTTAATATCACAATAAAATTCATCATTAAATACATATCATTGATAATAATTTATTATATTTTCAAATTATGTCTCTCAATTATGCCCTAATAACGTTAGTGTCGACACTTTTGAGAATTATATTTATCACATGGCATCTCCAGCCAGCCATGATTGGTGGTTTCATGTTGCTCTTTCTTGGCGTTAACAATTTCGTTTTGCAAACTGCACATCTAATTTTAATTACCTACTACTCCANGTAGGGTGGATAGTCCCTCTGAGCAAGTTAACAGTGGTCGAGTTGAGATTTTTTCTTCCAAAAACAAGGAAAACCAAGCATCCTCCTCTGGGGGATCTATTGCGCCAAAGGTGACTAAATTAGATATTTCTCGTTATGACGGAATCTAAGATCCAACGGGGTGGATTTCTCATGTAGAGTAATTTTTTGAATTTTAACAGACAGAAGAAATAGACAAACTACCTATGGTCGGCTATCATCTCTATGGAGATGTCCAAATTTGGTACCAAAATATCAAGGAAGAGGAGGAATACGTGGATTGGAAGGATTAAATAAGGAGCTACAATTGCACAATGGCCCTACCAAGTTTCAAAATTTCTATAGAGATCTCACAAAACTCAGGCAAATAGGAACAGTGCGGGATTATGTGGCCGAATATGACAAATTAAGAAGTAAAGCAGGAAAGCTTACCACAAAGCAAAAAATTGGAGGATTCATTAGTGGGTTAAAGGAGCACCTAGCCTTAGAGTAATCTTAATGCAATAGAATAGACCTATTGCTTTCTTTAGTCAAGCCCTTAAGGGGAAAAACTTAACCCTCTCAACTTATGAGAAGGAAATGTTGGCATTAGTTAACGCAGTGCATAAATGACGGCTATATTTGTTAGGCTCCAAATTTGTAGTAAGGACAAATCAATGAAGTTTGCAATACCTTTGGGTCAAACAATTACCACCATAGTCTAGCAAAAATGGCTAGTTAAATTGATGGGATATGATTTCGAAATAGAGTACAAAAGAAGGAGAACTCCGTGGAAGATGCATTATCAAGAAGATTCAAAGGTGAACTAAAGGTTTTCTCTCAACTGATTCCTCACTAGATAGAGCCCATTAACGCCGAAGTGAAATAGGAGGCTGAATTACAAAAGTTGGTCAAGAAAATCTTGGAGGGGGAGGCACTCGGACCATGGGTTTTCAAAGAAGGTATTCCTTTAAAAGCCGAATATATCAAAGAGAAAAATCTTCTCTAATTCTATAAAATCCGGGTAGATTTAAACATTTTATGAAAATGGCAAAATGATAATTTGTCATTACGAGATGGGTTGGAAACCTGAATTTTTTTAGAATTCAGATGACAAAACGAACTTCACTATTATATTCGTTTCGCGAAATTTAGTTACTCCGTTAATTTTCGTCGAATTTCAAGATAGTCAAATTTTTTACGTTTTATGATGTNTTTGGCGAAATTTAGTTACTCCGTTAATTTTCGTCGAATTTCGAGATAGTCAAATTTTGTACGTTTTATGATGCAGACAGGCCTCAGGTGACCCACAAAAGAAATTTTTAATAAAATTTTGAAAATTAAAAAATAATTTAAATCAATTTGAAATGAAAATAATTTAAACTTGAACCGGGGTAAAATTTAATTGTTTTGGGGCGAAAACAAATCTAGGGAAAAAGGGGTTGTTTGGCGTAATAAGAACCAAGTGTTTTGGGAGTATAAAAAGGGGAGAAATATCATATTTCTTCCCATTTGTTCAGCCGGTCTTCAATGTTGAGAGGAAGAGAGAGAAAAAGCTTAGACTTCCACCTTCTCTCTACGATCTATAGAATTCTAACGGTCAAATCCGTGGGCTAAGAACAAAAGTTGTTCCCCTCACCGAAAGCTACAAAACTATACCAAGGAGGTCGAGTTTGGGCCAGATTCCAAGAACATAATTTTGGGAAAGTGAAGATTCTTGCTTGAATAGGGTTCTTGGAGCTTCTTGACATCATTTTATGCTTCAAGAGGTAGGGTTCCCTCATACTTTAGTTTATTTTCTAACCTAGGGTGTTATAATGGAATGGGTAGGTTGATAGAGTTATATATCACTTGTCTGTCATTGTAAAGTTGATGGAATTGAATATTTGAAATGGATAAATTATATTCTAGTGTGAGTTGGTCATTAGGAATCGCTATGTATGTGATTTCCTAGTGGAATGTGAATTGTGGGCATGCTATATGTTTATATTAATGCCTTG